GATATGCAAATAAAGAAAATCTGTGTAAATAAGATGTAGAAGCAGCAAAGGAACACTTGCATTGTTGTTTGTGGGAGATTATTAGTGTAGAGCATTGTCAGAAGTGCAGCATGAAGAATCATGTTCCTGCAACAAACTAATATGTGACCCTGGAGCACAAAAGCAGTCTGAAGTCGCTGGGGTATATTTGTAGCAATAGCCAACAATACATTGTAGGGTCAAAATTATAGATTTTTCTTTTATGCCAAAAATCATTAGGATATTAAATAAAGATCATGTTCCATGAAGATATTTTGTAAATTTCCTACTGTAAATATATCAAAACTTAATTTTTGATTAGTAATATGCATTGCTAAGAACTTAATTTGAACAACTTTAAAGGCGATTTTCTCAATATTTAGATTTTTTTGCACCCTCAGATTCCAGATTTTCAAACAGTTGTATCTCGACCAAATATTGTCCTATCCTAACAAACCATACATCAATGAAAGCTTATTTATTCAGCTTTCAGATGATGTGTAAATCTCAATTTCGAGAATTTGACCCTTATGACTTTTTTTTGTTTTGTGGTCCAGGGTCACATATGGAGTTACTAAGGAAGCATGACTGAATGAGGAAAGAAATGGTGGAATAAGCAGACTTACAGAGGTGTAGTGTGCCGTGTCTTTGCTCGATGTAGTCACGCAGGACGAGTCGCTGGTCTTCACACGAGGGCTGCCGCTCCAGCCACAACGACTGCTTAAATACTGCTTCACTAATGCATCGCAATTAAAACAGCTCATCAATCAAATTCCACCGCCAATAGGATCCTTCCATCAATTTAAGCTACAGCTGCTCTATTGCATTTTCATGTATCACTCATTTTAGTGCCAAAATGAGCTCATTCAACAAGATATTTCAGTGTAGAAAACCAGCAAGCAATGATGCAAAACTACTCTAATGTTCTCATCTTTTCCCATTGCAGCTGTTCGACAGGTGAGGACTTTCTGAGCGAACAGGGCATCGATTACTCAACCTGGGGTTTGTGGCAGAATCATTTGGCTCTGGGAATCATGACCCTCATCTTCCTCATCATCGCTTACCTCAAGCTGCGCTTTATCAAGAAATTCACCTAAACACAAACTCACGGTCTTCTTCACACACTTCCACAGCGTCCACCAAATCCCATTTCCCAAATCCCATTGTCGTGATGCAGAAGGAAATCATGAACATACATCCAATCATGCTGCAGACAGAAATGAACGTGAAGAATTGACTGTGCTCAGGCTTATTGTTCTCAAATAGTTTGCACACTAAAGATTTGTTTTAAAATTAATGTTTTGTTTTTTTTGCTCAGTAACAGTAGTTAATAAAATATGGCAATATGGAGTCTGTTACGGATATGTTCAGTTTCTGTTTAATGGACTTATTTTCATCATTTCCTGTATTCCTTTGGTTTTCCCGTTTGTCACTGGTTGTCATAGTTACTGATATGATTAGTTGTTTAGTTCAGCTGTGTCTTGTTAATGTACCCTGTTTGTATCAGTACTTAAGTTCTTCCTTCTGTGTTCTTTGTCCGGTCTCGTTCTCGTTAGTGTTGGTTTTTGTCTCCTGTTCTGTTTGCCAGTGTGTTATGGATTAAAGACTTTCTGGTAAGGACTAAATCTGTGCTCTGCCTGTCTGTCTACAACACATCATAGTCATCATACACACATCATAGTCCAGTTTGACACCTTTTAGTTGTTTTTGTTTGCTGAATGTTCTTGTTGGGGGTTTTCAAAGTGATGCCATATAAGAACCATTCTGGGTTCCCCAAAGAACCTTTCATTGATCCGTTCCTAAAATATAGTCTTAAAACTAAAGCTTCTTTATTGGCATTGATGATTCCATGAAAAATCTGTAACATCATTGGAACCTATTCAATCCACAAAAGATTCTTTATAATGGAAAATATTCTTCTGATTATTGAAATGTTTTTCACGCTAAGAAAAAAATGGTTCTTAAAAACTGTTCACTGAAAGGTTCTTCGGGGAACTAAAAATGGTGCCTCTATGGCAGAGGTGTCCAAACTCAGTCTTGAGACTGGAATTGAGAACCACTGTACTACTATACTGTGTGAATCACGGTAGTGCAGGGGTGTCCAAACACAGTCCTGGAGGGCCACTGTCCTGCATAGTTTAGCTCCAACCCCAATTAAACACACCTGATCCAGCTAATCAAGGTTATACTAGGCATGCTACAAACTTCTCGGCAGGTGTGTTGAGGCAAGTTTGAGCTAAACTCTGCAGGACACCGGCCCTCCAGGACTGAGTTTGGACACCCCTGCTCTATGGCATCACTGCAAAAATTCCCTTTATTTTTTAAGTGTAACCATTTATTTTCTTAGTATGAAGAATATTTTAATCATTCAAAGAACCATTTTTGTAGTATAAAGAACCTTTTGTGCAATTGAAAGGTTCCACGGATGTTAAAGGTTCTTCATGGAACTATTGATGCCAATAAAAAGAACTTTCGCACCGCATAGTTCTAAGAACTTAAGGTGTGTTCACGCCATATCGTAATTACCGTGTAAAAAGCGTCCTTGTAGAACTCGTAATTACAACTTATGAACTGGGAGTTTTCTGAGAGCTACGACTTGTACCACCTGACCACCTCAGATCCATTAGGTGCTATGTTTAGGCTTTCAGTGCGTTCCAAACGGGATATATCGCCCTCCGAAGGGCACTTCGGAGTGAAAACAATCATAGCCGCCATATTGAAGGGTCGTTCCAAACCGAAGTGCTCAAAACTGGCCGCTTCAAAGGTCCTTTCGGAATGAAGGATTTCGAAGGGTACAACTGATGGACACTTCGGGCTCCCATGATCCTTTGCGCAGAATGACGGCGCCTCTGTGTGGGCACGTGATGATGATGCAGAAGGGCGCTTCAAGAAACCGTTGTTTGGTCCCCTACACCCTTCAACCCTTCAAAGCTCTCACTCCGGAGGGTAAACCCTTTGAAGGGATTAGGGCATAGGGATGAGCCCTTCTGAATGGAACGCAGGGATTGATAGTGCGATAGTTCCGTGTCCGAGTCCAAGGTCGTGAACAGCTCCCAGTAGAAACTCTGAAGCGGCCGGCAGCGACATCTTTATTCTCTGTATTTACAAACATCAACAACCGGTGAATGGAGGACGCCATGATCGGAGCTGTTTCTGTTGCGTGTTGTGGGTTTCATAATGGAATGTAAACACACAATTTACGTGAATAAAAGAGCACGAAAATGTGATTTAATCTCCTTTGACAACTTGCAGTGTTATCACCGAGGCTGAGAAAAGAACACAACGCTGCAGACAACAGGTAGCTAAATGCCATTATTACTGCTTTTTCCCATGTTCGTGGAGTAAATTTTTTTACTCTGCTTTTAAAAAATGCTGGGTAGCCAGTGTTTCGTATGCGTTTGGCCAATCAGCATACTTTTACGTCACTGATAGTTCCTATGGAACTGTTTTAGACCCCACTCTGAAGTAGGAGCTAATTTAGTTCCCCCAAAAGGAGTTCCTAGAACTAAATAAGTTCCTAGTTCCTGCGGTGTGAACACGCCTAAAAGCGGGAACTTCCATCAGTAGTTCTAGGAACTATGAAAAGGTTCCCCTGGTGCAAAAGCCCCTAAAGAATTCAATTCAAGTTTATTTGTATAGCGCTTTTCACGATACAATTCGTTGCAAATTAAGTTTCTACAATATTTAGTGGTAGCTTATCAGTGGTGACTGTCAGTTAATGTACATATGGCAGAAATGTACGGAAAAATCAATTAAAGACGTAATCAAACAGACGATGAACACTATTAACAGCAATTATTATATGATGCAATCAAACTTATAGCAAAATGTGGTAGTTCTGTATGTTGTTTCAGGGTTGGCATCATCTGAGGTCCTCTGAGGGGTTGGCATCATCTCTTCTCAGGTGTTCTGGATCCAGACTGAAGCTTGTGTAAATCCTAGTTACCACGGGATGTCAATCGCAGGCAAAAACATAGAAACAAATAGAGACATAATTAGCGTTGCTGCTGTTCCAACCAAGCAAAATTGATTTGTTTAACCCAAACTAATTTAAATGAACAAAATGGTAGCGATCGGACAGGTAGGATCTAAACCATCTTAAAGCCTGCTCTTGAATACCTGTATAGTTTTGTAATCGATCTAGGAGTATGTCATGATCTATAGTGTCGAACGCAGCACTATGTAGCGAGTCAGCTCAAAGGGGAAATATGAATAATTAATCATAACTAGTTAAAATTCATTATAAATATTTAGATCTGCTGTAAGTATTTACTTGACCTCTCAGGGTCAACTGTCTGTCAATTCTAAGAACGTTAATTTCCTGGTTAAGGGAAATAACTTTCTTACTGTACAATACTACTCATGTCCTGGAGCATAAATCTGCATGATTAGGGACTCCAGTTATGAGCAAACTATACACAGTAGCCAGAGCAAGAGATACGACACATTTCTTTTGCATATCTGACAGTGTAACATTAAGCATAAGTATTTCGAATGAGTTAAACTTGTATCCTGTAAACTTGAATCAGTGATGTTTTGTCTCAATGACCTCAAACCTGTACAGCAAGTTTGAAAATGCACATGTGTGAAATTCAAGAGCTGCTGCTGTATGGTTTGAGAAAGAGCAGCTTTGGGTTCATCAAAATATCTTCTTGTGTGTTCTGTGGGGGGAAAAAAGTCATATAAATTCGGAACAACATGGGGCTGAGAAAATAACAGAATTTTAATTCTTGGTGAAATTTCCCATTAATGAAAGCTTTGTAATTATTGATGCATGTATGAAAAGTCAGTTCCTACCTTTAATTTACCATCAAAAGACATCACACATATGAACATCAAAAGCAGTGTCATATGTGACGTTAAAGCACTTTTGCCTTAAATGTCATAAATGAAATGTAAAACAAATGTAAATGGATAACACAAGTGCAGTGTGCACTACCTTCTAAACAGATTCCCTAAAGCATCAAGCTACGAACAGATTATCAGATTTATTAATTTATTATGTGGTTTTCACCTAAACATAAGCTTTGTATTGAGTTCATTTTTGCAGCAGTGCTGGTGATGCCATTTCCCCATTTTTTTTTTTATTCAGGACAATGTTTTTATTCTGGACAATTCAGGACAGGAAATTTTTATTTAGGACTGCTGGCACCTCGCTTTCCAAATCTGAGATATTTGTTTCTCTTCATGGCTGTTCTTAAGCATCTGTGTTTTATACATGTTTTGTTATTCTTGGTTCTGTTTACTTCTTGCGGTGATCCGCCTTCTTGCGATTCACATAATTTTGCAGTTGAGCCCTGAAAGAGCCCAAATCCTGGATAAAGAGGTTGAGTGAACCTGGTCTGGACTTTGTGAAGGAGGATCATGGTATCTGAGACACTGTAGAAGGACAGCTGTCCTGCCCGGTGGTCCAGATACACCCCGATCCGGTGGGACAGGGGTACACTGATCTCCGTCTCCTCGTTGTTGTGCACTATTGCGTATCTGAACATGGAACAGTCCAGACTCCAGGAGTGCCTGTTGTACCCAAACCCACTGTCGTCTCCTTGCCCAGTTCTGTTGATATCTTTGTAGGACACTGCGAGGTCGACGCCGTACTGTCCGCTCCAGACCACCTCCCAGTAGCAGCGACTTGTCAGACCTTCCTTGCTCAGCACCTGGGCCCACCACTCAAAGCGGTCCGGATGTTCTGGATATGATTGGGGCTCAATACTGCAAGCCACAGCCTGGTTCTGTTCTGTTAACCGAAGGTTCCTGTGGGCCGTGTTTGGGTCCAGACTCAAGGGAACCAGAACTGATGAAATGAGAAACAAGGTGAAAATGCAAAACCCAAGTAAAGCCCAGCTTTACCCCAAGACCAGTGTCTGCACACTTACTACTTGTCTTAGAATGTAAAACAGAACTTAATGTGAATGAAGTATCCTTAGGTAACAAACCAGTACTAAGGCTAAGCATCTTTAGGGATTGGGATTTTTCCTATTGTACAGTACCTTACCTCATTGTGAAGTTTTGGGGACTAATTAAAGACTGGAATACACTACTCGATTTTTGCCCTGACTTTCCATTGATTTATTGTCTGAAAAAGTTGATGCTAGTCTGCAGATTTGAGTTCAGAGAAAATTGCATGGTGTATGATGGTCACGGACTCCCTTTTTTTCAGCTTCAGACTATGATTCCATCCAGTTGGAGGATATCATACATGTTTGATATTTTAAGTTGATTTTAGAACACTTATTGTTTTCATTGGTCAACAAGGCGCATGTTTCTGTGTGAATTTGTTGTGATCGGAACAACTTTAATGTCTGGTAGTGTGTGAATCTAAGTCGTTTAGAGTAAGATGGCCAGTTTTTCCTCTGTGACAATTACAAAGTCGGTAAGTGTATGATACCCAGTGTTTTAAAATTTGTTTTAAAAGGTGTGTAGTGTATTCCAGCCTTAAATTTGAACAAAAAGGTAGAATGACTTACAATGTATAAAGTCCTCCCTTGTCTTGGGTTCTTGCGGCAGTAGGATCTTTTCTGCAGTCACTAAAGAGACGTGAGATGTGACAGAACAGATTGGTTATTTGGGAATCTGCAGACCTTTTCACAAGAGGTTGGAAACATGTAAAATTGTGGAAATCCCAAGTGTTCTGTCGAGTACTACAGAGCCACAAAGGTATGACCCTCTGGCCCACCAAAGACACTGTCCTGCAGAATTTAGCCCCAACCATAATAAAATACACCTGCCTGTAAATTTCAAGTAATCATCAAGACTTTGATTAGGGTTGGAGCTAAACTCTTCAGGATAATGGCCCTTGAAGGCCAGATTTGCCCACTACTTTCCTAAAGTGACATGGAGATGGATAAGATATGAGATTTGTATTTCAATGCTTTTTCATTCCCCTGAGAAACTCACAAAACTTTTGCATTTCCTTGAGAAAGTATGCATGGGGTTTTGTGAGGTAATGCAAAACATTTTAATGCACAAGCATTGAAATATGTTATCCTCCCATCTCATTTTTTTTTCTTTTTCTGTCATATCCCTTTAGGGTCTTCGGAGGATTCTTAACAGCAGGATTCCTCAAATCTTGCCCTGGAGGGCCAATGTCCTACAGAGTTTAGCTCCAACGCTAATTAAACACCTGAGCAAGCTTATCAAGGTCCTCAGGATCCATAGAAAATCACAGGTAAGTGAGTTTGATCAGTGTTTGAGCTAAACTCTGCAAGGCAGTGGCCCTCCAAGGACCGGATTTGAGGATCCCTGCTTTACAGGTAGGTAAAGATTCAATACTGAACTATAGTTACATCCTACTTTCAACCTCAGCCCACTTACCAGCAGTACATTAAGTTAGCTAAAGATGCTAAAATCCACCAGTTCCTATGTCAGTGACAAATTCTGGGAATCTGTGATTAACAGGTTTGTATCAATCAAGTGAAACAGTAAATGAAACCGTCTGTACTTGTTGCTTTCAGACGTATGGAAATTCTAACCACAAAGGTTTAGTTCTTGTAGGACATTAGTGGGTCAAAAGGGTCTTATACTTTAGACTAAAATTGTTTTGAAGGCAACCACTTCTGTGGACCAAATTTGTTCATCACCCATCACTTTTTACCTGCTGAGAATATCCTGGTTGTTTCCAGTCTCCAAATGTCCTTTATATGTGCTGTTAATGAGATGAGGGACTTGATCACTTCTCCAAAAGAGAACTGTGGATTAGTTGTCAGGCTTTGGAAGTCATTAGAAGTCGGCCAGCGGGATTGGACCTCCTACAAGATTTGGAGATAATCAGGAGAGGAAAGAAGGCTTCTACCACACATTTAAAATAGGGACTTTAAGCAACAGCTGCAAATGGAACGGAAGTAAGCTGTTAAACCGCCGTAGCCGAGAACGTAATAATCACTAAGCAACGCGGTATTCAGTCATTTATTTAAGTATTAAGAGGAGGATGTTTAGGCAATACTTACATCGTTTGCTTCACATCATCTCTAGTCTCAGTGCTACCTGAGATGTTGTTGCTAACAGCAGACATATCTTTGTTCAAACGGAAAAATCATTAAAATCAGTTTCATTTCAAAACCTATAAACAAAGATTAAATAAAAGACTAATGGTAGAATCGTATACTGGTGCAATTACAATGGTATATACCATAAAACGTAACATTTACCAACCTAATCTGTCACGTTGTAACGACTACGGCAAACCAGCTAAACCAGCTGTTCTCCCGTAGTAGAAGGTTATAGTAGAACCTCATGAAGTAGCAGTTAAAGTCGGGCATGCGCAATATGACGTCGAAATGCTGTTGCCGTTCCTTCAGTGGCTGTTGCTTAAAGTCCCCAATTAGTCATTTGGTAGCCACTTTGGTCCAAAGTGTATTGTAGCAAATGGTTTGCTCTGTGATGGGATTAAATAAGCAATCCACTGATAACAAGCTCTAAGCTTGAGTCTCTACATCAGCATTAGCTGAAAGACTTTGATGATACAATTTGTTGATCATGAATAATGCAAGCTTTGTATCAAGACTATAATAATGCATTTATTCAAACAGTGTCTTGGTGTGTTTTCAGTTCTGGTAGTGCTTTTAACTGGAGGAAATAGATGTGATCATCAGTATGTGAAAGCTGCTCCACCTCGGACTGCTTTCTCTTCAACTTTGAGATCTCTTGTTCCAGATCTTGCGAATGTCCCTGAATCCGGTTCAACTCCGTGGTCATCTGACTTTGGACCAGCATAATTATCTCAGTGTGGCTTCTCCGTATAAAGCTGAGCAGTTCGGTGAAGATCCGGTCACCTTCTTCCTCTGTGGCTTGAGTCAGGTTCTGTAAGTGGAAATATAGCAAGCTGAACCTCTTTTGTTCTTGTTCTCGTTCTTGGTTTGGGTGAAGTGTGTAACTTTTCTGCACCGTTAATGGCACCAAATTGAATTATAGTTTACAAACAGCCCATCTTCTGTGTTCTTCTTCATCTTCTTGTTCATGGTTCAAGTCACTTTGGGAAGTCAACCAGTGGCTTAATTATAGCTTATGCCTGTTACTAGGGGGTAGGAGAAAGTGTTTGGAACATTATTTTACTTTTTAATTTGTCTTACCCTGAGTCTACCTGATGCCTTTTGGGTTTCCTTCAGCTCTGTCTCTCGATCCGTAACCGTCTGCTTGGACTTTTCCAGCTGCCTCTGGGAATCATTGGACAACGTCATTCAAGACCCTGTTTTACGTTCTCAGTCTTTTACATTTAGCATCACAGTTTTGACTGAGAACTACTGCGGTATCACAAAGATGCTTGAGGCATTTTATGTGTGCCATAACCTGTTGTACCTGGTGACTGTTCTGGCAACTTGAATTAGGTATGTCTCTCTTATTGTCATTGCCTTTTAATCATTATGTCTTTGTTCGGAAGAGTTTACAAAGACTTTTTTTGAGCAACATCAGGCACAGTTGTTGAAGTCCATAATGGCAGCCCCCCTCCAAAATCTTGTTCATAAACAAAACTGCAACTGGATATTCCCATACGGATTCTCCCAAATACAGTATTGTATTTTACAATGTTTTTAATCATTATGAAGTCTTTTTGAGCAGCATCTACTCTATAGCTTTAGAACCAAGTCTAAAACGACAATCCCTCACCAAAATCCATTTCATGAGCCAAACTGCACCCAACCATACTTTCAAACAATGCTTGTCTCTTATTGTCACTGTTTTTAATCATTATGTTTTTGTACTGAAGAGTTAAAGATATTTTCAAGCAACATGTGCTCTGTAGTTGTAAAACCAAGTCCATGACAACAATCCCTCACCAAGATCCCGTTTAACTGCAACTGGCTATTCCCAAATTTATTCACCCAACCAGTTAATTGACTGCCTTTCAAACATAATTGTCTCTTATTTTCTTTGGCTTTCTTGATTTTAATCATTAAAGGGATAGTTCACTCAAAAATGAAAATTCACCCTCATGTCATTCTAAACCCGTAAGACAAATTAAGATATTTTTGATGAATTCTGAGAGCTCTTTGACCCTCCCATAGACAGCAATGTAATTACCACAATCAAGGAGATTGGTAAAATAATCCATGTGACATCATTCAACCATAATTTTACGAAGCTACTAGAATACTTTTTGTACGCAAAGAAAACAGAAATCTCCTTGCTTAACGATCTCCTTGCTATGTTTCTGGACCTTGATCGTGTTAATTATATTGCTGTCTATGGAGGGTTAGAGAGCTCTCGGAATGCATCAAAAAATATCTTAATTTGTGTTCCGAAGATGAACGGAGGTCTTACGGGGTTGGAACGACATGATGGTGAGTAATTAATGACAGAATTTTCATTTTTGGGTGAACTATCCCTTTAAGGTTTTGTTCTGAAGAGTTTACAAAGTCTTATTTGAGCAACATCTACTCTGTAGTTGTGGAACCAAGTCCACACCAACAATCCCTCATCAAAATCCCATTTGTTAACCAAACTGCAACTGGATATTCTCAAACATTCACCCAACCAATTAAAAATGGCTTGTTTATGCATTGCATATTAAAAACTTGTACTACTTTGGACTCAAACCGACCCTGCCCCACCTTTACCTGTTTCTCTGCTCGTTCTGTAGCAGCCGAGACCATGTCATGTCCTTTGTGGTTGGTGTCCAGCATGCAGAGGCAGCAGATACACTGGCGCTCAGTGCGGCAGTAAACCTCCAGGAGCTTATGATGTTGGGGGCATGTCTTTTTTTGGAGTTCTCCAGTGACGTCCACCAGTAAGTGTGCTTTCCCCACATTCAGTTCATTGTGCAACCTGAGGTGAGTTTCACAGTAAGACGCCAAACACACCAGACATGTTTTGATGGCTTTTTCTTTCCTATCACTGCAAGAGTCACACTCCACGTCCTCAGCTTGCTCCGTCTGAAGTCCTGTCCTCTCCAGTGCCTCTGCAACACAAGCAACAGATCTGTCTGGATCTGATACAGAAGCATTGGAATGATCCAGATTCTTCCGGATCTGCGGCTGGAGCCTCATATTCTTCCAGATCTGCGGCTGGAGCCTCATATTCTTCCGATATTCTCAAACATTCACCCAACCAATTAAAAATGGCTTGTTTATGCATTGCATATTAAAAACTTGTACTACTTTGGACTCAAACCGACCCTGCCCCACCTTTACCTGTTTCTCTGCTCGTTCTGTAGCAGCCGAGACCATGTCATGTCCTTTGTGGTTGGTGTCCAGCATGCAGAGGCAGCAGATACACTGGCGCTCAGTGCGGCAGTAAACCTCCAGGAGCTTATGATGTTGGGGGCATGTCTTTTTTTGGAGTTCTCCAGTGACGTCCACCAGTAAGTGTGCTTTCCCCACATTCAGTTCATTGTGCAACCTGAGGTGAGTTTCACAGTAAGACGCCAAACACACCAGACATGTTTTGATGGCTTTCTCTTTCCCATCACTGCAAGAGTCACACTCCACGTCCTCAGCTTGCTCCGTCTGAAGTCCTGTCCTCTCCAGTGCCTCTGCAACACAAGCAACAGATCTGTCTGGATCTGATACAGAAGCATTGGAATCATCCAGATCTGCAGCTGGAGCCTCATATTCTTCCAGATCTGTCTCACACAAGGAATTCTGTTTACAAACAGTTTCGTTTCGTTTCTTTCTTTTCCTCCTGCGTGTTTGTGGGCGGGACTCTCTTATGTGTGTGTGTGTGGCCACAGATAAAGAGAGACAGCTCTGAAGCTTGCTCTAATGTGAAACCTTAACAGAGAGAGACACACGGTTGCTTGCCAAGATGATGTTGCTTTGTGATTAGCAAAATAATACCAGACTAATCAGCTAGTTAAATTAATTCAAATATTCTAAGTGCACAGGAGAGACACTGTACCATCATGTCTCTTTTTCCTTTGACAGCCATTATTGTGTATTTGCATACAGAACAAAAGTGAGACATTTTACATCTTAAACTGTTGCTTTTAAACTGGTTTTATAGTTTTTTGTCCTCAGCATTCACCTCTAGTGAGTACGTGTTAGATAAGGTTTATATATGTGGGCAAAGTCCAGGTGGCGTGCAATTGTCAAACAGAAACTTGTGTAACTTGTCAAGAGAGACAATAAAACAGTAGGAAGAGCCATAATACGGGCTGTTTCATAATTTAATACTTTTTGTTTCATAAGTTTTTCATATGTTCTGTTTAAAAAGTGGCATGGTTTATTCTTTGGTTCATGTCATTTCTCTGATCAACATCATTGGAATTATTTTAATGTTTTAAAATCAATATTAATAACTCCAATGATGTTAATGAGTAATAAATGTTCTCATTTTCCCATAAAGTCATTGTCTAATGGTTGACCTAGCAGATATGCTTTATAAATGCTGATCTTTATGTAGTTAATATAGATGTTCATGCGTAGGCTATTTAAAGCAGAAGTACATTACAGAAGGATGTGCACTTTGTCTCAACATCAAGACTTCAGTTCATGTATTTGTATATGGGAAAATGTAGGTATGTTGTAATTGGTCACCATTTCTTTGAAGTTTTCACTACTTCAACTAAACCTCTTCATGACCACTTCAACGTTTTCACTTCACTTTTTTTCATGTAATTTTAAATTATCCTGGAAGTCGGTTTAAACGGAGTGGCTATTTTGTAGATTTAAAGCTAATACTTAACATTGACCTTCAAATACCTGTAATAAAGCTAAAGCTAAATATATTATTTATATATACATGGTAAATGTCCTGAACTTTTCTGTTTAGGTCCCAAATCAAATTCAGTCACTGTGCCTGAAGAATTGCCTAAAAATGGTCTAAATTGTCTAAAAATCAGACTTTTACTTAGGAAAACTTCAAATGATCAATATTGTCATGAATTATGAATGTCATCTTTTAATAAAAATAGATCCAAATGGCGACTTACCCTTACGAAAATTAACCATGGTTTTACTGTAGTAAAAGTGCACAACCCATGTTTTTTTGGTGTGTTGATTACCATATATAGCCATAGTTTTACTACAAATACCATGGTTAAACTATATGGTTAATGTAGCAAAACCATGGTTACCCTACTGAAAAAAACAATAAAACCATCACAGAAAATTTGAATGGTTTCCACTACAAATACCATTACAAACATTACAACCCGTCCACTTTTAACCATTAAAATCATAATTAAAAAAAAATTTTCTGGGACATATTCCATTAGGATTGGTTTTAACAAGCCACCAATAGAAGGTGACCAATTACCAGTAGAAACCCACAGGGCCCATTACAGTTTCCAGTAAAACCAATACAAGTCCCATTTTAACCAGTAAAACCATTACAAATGTTGTAATGGTGTCTGTTGTTTTTGTCTGTTGTTTTTAACTATAGTAACCATGTATTTTTTTTGTGTGTTTAATTTGTAGTAAAACCATGGATAATTTTCGTAAGGGTAATTTGATGCTGATGATGTTGATAATTGACAATAAACATGCGCAGTATCTTTCATGAAACTCTAGATATTTTTTGAAATATTTTAGTATTTCTCAAATTTTTATAATGTCATATAAGCGACACAAAAGCTAGTGGTACCATGGTACAATGATGGTAATTCCATCGTATTTTTTAAAATGTTTTTATGTATAAACGCTGATTTGCATGAGCTTTATAAAGTCACTCCTGTCATCGTAACACGTGTGAAGCGCCTCCTGTTTTTATGAAACCTCATTCACATAAATACACTCTCTCTCTCTCTCTCTCTCTCTCTCTCTCTCTCTCTCTATCTCTCTCTCGCGCTCCTCACATAATACCCACGGACGCACGCGCTCGCAGCGGATTGCCTCTGCTTCAGGTGAGTGTGAATACGGTTTCTGTGAATCAAACCGTTAATTACCCGATGTTCTGCTCAAAACAAGATCGTGTGTTTTGACAAATATCATATGTGTTCCGTTTTCGCTGCGAACTACTGAATGCTGTGGGGTTTTTGGGAGTGATACTGCACATTATTACTCGTTTAGAAACGACCTAAGCGGTTCATATTTGATAGTTCATCATAATAATGATAATTCATCATCATGTTCTAACACTAGCTTCTCTATTCTTTTTTAATTCTATCGATTTGTTTTATTTTTATTTATTACACAATTAACAAAAAGCAAAAAAAAAAAAAAAAAAGCCTATAACACTAGCTTGGTTCTATCCCATTCTATTCTATCTGTTTTCTTTTTATTTATTATATAATAATAAAAAAAAACCTTGCTACGTGTACTGCGTTAAGCTAACTGAGACTTGTTATAGCTATAGCACTTGCATATCATTGCTCTTTTGTTGATTTTGATTGCTTCCAATTTAGGGCTGTGCGATATTGAAGAAAAATGCGATATGCGATAACTCATTAAATTATGCGATAGGATAATGCTTAAAGTGCCACATGCTCAGATGAAACAGTTTTACTCAGCTGTTGCTGAGTCAGTTCAGTGAACTTCTATAACTATCCTGTGCCATCATATATATATATGGTTATTTGTATGCATGTATGTACCAAGAGTTCCTGTAAAACCACAACAAATTCCTTGTGTTTGCGCACACTTAAGTGGTGATTAAAGCCCATTCTGATTCTGATTCTAATATCAAGTACTGTTTACAAATGAAAACAGTTCTAAACAAATATGTGAGAGGACAACAGTGGATAGTCTTTGGAAGCATCACTGGATGAAGAGTTATTATGTAGTATTTACTCTTTGAATTCAATATGCACTGATTCTTATTTAAGCTACAAAAGTTATTTAGGTAAGAGCAGTGAGTGATTTTCTTTTTGTCTTTTGTTCATGGCCCCAACTATTGCAAGCTGTAGCGATATGCATATTGCGATATGTACATTTGCGATATTTCGATAATTTCGATATATTGCACAGCCCTAGCTTCCATTGTCCTCATTTGGATAAAAGCGTCTGCTAAATGACTAAATGTAAATGTGATGAGAGAAACTAGTTGATCAGGTGCATTGAGATTCTGCAATCAGACTGAAACTTGGTTTATTAAGTCAAAACTTCCAGATGAACCTGATTTTGTGTGTCCTGATGTAATGATTTAGTGAGTTCATGTCATCTGATGGTTTCTGTTCCTCAGGGTTGTAATGGCAGACACGGCTGTTCAGCTGACCGGAGTCAGAGATGAGTCCAGGACACCGGTGTCCACCAGAATGTCCTTCTCATCACCCAGACGAGGAGCGACCGTGAGCTTCCACAACATCAACTACAGCGTGAAGATGAAGAGCGGCTTCCTGTGCAAGAGGAAGCTCACGCAGAAGAACATCCTCATCCAGCTCAAGTGAGTCTAGTGCTGTCAAATCTGATGCTGTGTGATCACAATACTCATGTTTCGTGGTTTTAAATAGTCAGGCATTTCAAAAATAGCATGGTGTCCCACAAAGGTATGTGTTTGTACCGTGGTATTTTTGAGAGCACTTAAATACAATGGTTCATGAATTATGGCAATACCTGGGTATTTTTTGAAATACCTTGCAGGGACGTTAAAATATATGAATATGGTAATCAGACAGTATGTTTTATATGGTGTAAATGCCAGGATACCACCACAGTATTTTTTTTTTGTAAGGAAAAAAAGTGTGATGTTACTGTGATACAGTGGTGGCACATGGATTTTGTTTTGTTTTTATTTTATTTTTTCTCTTTTGTTTGTATGTTTTATGTATTTCTTTGGGTTGTTTTAGTTAAAGAAAGCCACGCCTAAAAGCATATAAAACGTTTTCATAGCCATATATATTCAACTTATTTAATTTACTCGTTTTTAATTTTTTTCCCGGTTTAAATTGATGTACTTAAATACCTAAAACTGAAATAAAAATGAATAAAAAAATGACAAAAGCACACAACAAAATTACTAAAACTTTAACTACAATTGAAATTAACAGAAAAAATAAAAAATACAAAACTATAAAACTGTAAAAGCTAAATATTAAGTTTTATTATGTATTATAGTATTAAACATTCTGCATATGAATAAAAACCGTATATAGACATTTAAATATACATTTTATTTAAAATTTAAATTGAAATATCTAATAACAAATAACAAAATTCCTAAAACTTTAATTAAATGAACAGAAAAAAGAGAATGTAAAAGTAAATATTAATAAAATGTTATATATTATGAAATAATATTATAAAATATTATTTTAATGAAAACTATAATATCTTCAGTATCTCAATATTACTAAAATGACTTGTTCTTTTTGTTTATATAGTTTCTGTATTTTATTTATTTATTTTTTTGTAAGTTTTTATAGCAATACTAATGCTTTTACTTACTTATAGTGACATTTGCAAGATCATCTGATGGCTGATTTAACATGTTCCTTTAAAAAATCTAGTTTATTTTTGTGTTCGTCCGGTGACCAGCAGGACTGCATCAGATCTCATGTTCAGACTTGTTTTCTGCCTCGACTTTCATCTTCACTACCTGCTTAAAACATGGAGTCGAGAGGAACAGTCACATATTTAGCCTTTGCATGAAGCTCATGTTTATTATTTGCTATAAAGTAAGAAACGGAAGTGATATTTGTGAGGTTGTAGGTCTGGGAACATTAGTGTGGACGTGATGCGAGGTAATGTGTGTGCTTGTGTGATTGTGGAAACCAGCAGGGAGGACTTCTGTGAATTGAAGGAAGGAAGCATGGAGATGTTTCAATGGACTCCTGCGTCCTGCCTCCAAAAAAACTAAATATGCACTGAAAAACATACGTTTGTACGTGCTTCAGTAGACTTGGCATTACATGCATGCTAATGCATTGTTATACAAGCACACACACACACACACACCCTGTGTGATGAGCACACAAACACATGTGCATGTTTGCGCTTTCATAACCTGATTACATTACGTATGCGCACCCGCTGCGTTCAGGCCATTGTCCGACATGAAAGTCACTGCTGAACAATATAAACTTTCACACAGCGCGAGACTGAAAACACATGCTTGAATTGAGACATTTGAGTGGATAAACACAGTGAGAGTGCAGTGACTTTATTTTAGTGTTAATGAGCGCCATCAAACCTTGACTTTTGCCATGCTATCAGATAAGAGTCTGGTTTTGCTGTCCGTCTTGGACAGATCGAATTACAGAATTTGGATCACATAACTGGAAAATAATCTGGCAACCTTACATCTATCAGTCAAATTTCCTATCCAAAATCACGGGTTTTCACTCGAAACATCACTCGAGTCGTATTTCACTCCAAGACCAAATTATTAAGAAATTGTATATTGCTTAAAGTTTTTTTTTTTTCTTGGTAAACACATCCTTCAAATTCTCGATACCATAATGCAAAAAATCCTGTTCTCATTACCATAATAGTCATGAATATGATCCTGTCAGAACACAGTATATATATATTGACATAGTATCCTAACAGAATGCAATACTTTTATTTTTATTAATAAAAATTTAAATATTAATATTTTATTTTAATTACTTATGGATTTTTAAAACATTTTACTTTATTTTTTGTTTTAATTTTTTTTAAAGAGCATAAATTCCATGCAGTAAATACTTTAGAATAATTATAATAATAATAATTTAGTATAATTGTATGCTGTTTTTATTAATATTTTGAATGAGAATGACCTGTTTTCGTATTATTTTGCACATATTACAAAGTACATAGTATCTAAATATTTTGTAAGGCCATGACTGTGATCGTAATTAAATAATATACTATTTAATATTAATAAATATTTTATATTTATTAAAATAATAAATATTTATTTATATAATACATATT